ATGGGGTTATGTGCTCGTTTTTTTGCCTTCATGTTCGGAAACTTTAAGGTGAAAACTGGAAGTGACTCTGGTTCCTTAGCAGAGCAGTTGATGATTTGTTTTCATCCCTTTTTCTTTTTTTTTTAACTCTTTAATTGCCTGCTCAGCTTTAGCCTGCAACGGAATTTTCTTAAAAAAAAAAAAAAAAAGAAGTTTCTTGTTTCGTGCTGCTCATTTGATTTCCACTCAATCCCTCTGCTCACCATGGATGTCTGATGCAAGGAATATGAGTGTGAATGATATACGGAAAACCACGTTGCGAAATCACACAGATGTCCAGGTAGTCCCGTTCAAGCAGAGAGTACAAAATGCACCAAGAAACCATCCATATAGAGCAATACAATGAAGTAATGAGCCAATTTTCAAGCCCGTAGGCCACACCAACACAGTATCCAAAGTCGCTCCTCTCTGTCTGGCGCCCAGCGCCCAGCCTACTCTACCCGACTATCCTACCCACAGCTGGTTCAGGGAACAGGCTCACTTCGACTCTCGAAGACCAGTGTACATGACTGTCAACACCATAGCCGACCTCTCTTCATGCACCAGGTATGTATCTCGTCACCCTCAATCAGACCTTGATTACCCACACTCCCCTCCTTCCCTCAAGGCCACCTGATCGCCCTCCTACCCCCTGGCGCCCAGCAGCCCGGCTATGGCTGCCTGCGCCCCGCTGACCAGCAGCGCCCCACCTCACCACTACGCGCCCCGTCAGCGCCTTTGGCAGCAGCGCAGCATCAAGCGACAGCGCAGCAGCACTTCCGCATTGCCTGCACTGGCCAGAATGCCTGGCCTGGGCTGCCTCACTTCTTTTATGGAAGTGGCAGCCTCCTGGATGCTGTGTGTGGCCTGGCTGGAAGCGTCCAGTAGCTTCCGATTGGGCCTCAGACCCTGCGCCCAGGCCCGAGACTACAGTTGAGGGCCTGGGCCCTTTTCAGTTGGGCACGGCCTGAGTCTCCGGACTTGGGCTGTTTGCTGCATCTGTGCAGGGCTCCCAGGCAGGTGCGTCGGCACTACTGCTTTTCCAAAGGCCGATGGTCTGCTTCCCAATGTATCGGCCCTGCTTTGTGTGTATGTGCCCAGGCGCAACTGTCAAGGCCTGGGCCAACTGTATGACGCAGCTTAGTGAGGCTCACGCGTCTACCCGACCAACTGGTGTGCTGCGAGAGCCTGAATACCCACATATGGAAATGTCGAATTTTGGCCTCTGACAAATATTCAGGCCCGCCTTCACTTAGGGCGGGCACTCGGCTTGCTGGGGGCCTTAGCCCAGAACATGTGATGTCTGATAGGGCCCCTTGAGGCCTTGTTCCTCGCACTAATGCCAGTTTGGGTTCTAAATGCTGATGGTAAATATATGGGTTTGGAATTTGAAATTCAATTTTTTTTTTGGTCCCTGATGAGTGCCGGTAAATATTAATAATCTGATTCTGACGTCATTCCGCATGATTTGAGCTCGTGATCTGTTTACTAACAGTTACATGTGCAGCATACCGTTCAGCCACAATTGGATTGGTAATTTGAATGCAGTCTATGTTTCCTTGGATCGAAAATATTCTTTTATTATTACTATTATTTTTATTATTTTTATTATTTTTATTATTTTTATGATTTTTATGATTTTTATGATTTTTATGATTTTTAATAGCAGTAATTGTTATGGTTATTACCTGTGTTATAAACCGGGCCGCCCGGCCGGGCAAGAACTGGGAAAGGTCCCTGTAAAAAAAAAAAAAAAAAAAAAAAAGAAGAAGAATTGCGAAAAATGTAAAAAAATCCTAGGCTACCGGAGTGGCCCGGGACAACTTGCCCGGCCAGGCCAAAAAACAAAAAGAGAAAAAAATAAAGAGTATTTTTTATTTTAAATTTGGTATAGAATTTCGACGAGACGCTGAGGCAAAAAGTTATTCAGTTTATTTAAATTATTTTTCTTTTCTTTTTTTTTATTTTTTTGGGGGGGAACAAGGCTCCAATCTATTCGTGGGGAGCAGCACATGCTGGGAACCGGGCCCAGCGTCCCATATGGAGATTTACATAGGAGTTTGAAAATTTGAGATACCGGGGCCATTACCCGGCTTTGGCTGAGAAAAACCCGGCTTCCTGCCGTGTTGTCTTGTGCTCCGGGGTACCTACCACCACCAGTTGATCCTGCGATTCCTCTGATCGAGGAATTGATAACTCTGAATGTTCTTCAGTGATCTGGCGCGTCGGCAACCCGTCAGTTGCATTAAAACTTAATCTTCGTTGCTTACCTGTTGAGCCTGCTCTTGAGCATGATGGTCCTGCTGGTTGACGTGGATGCTTCCTTGTGCCCCCCTGGAGGGGGGGTAAAAGTTCACGTGTTCACGTGCACTCCCGAAGTATCGTCCGAACTTATGGTAGCCTTCCCTCCATTCATGACACCTGTGTCTGCGATTCTCCCATGTGTGTCTGGGACAACCCAAGCTTGATTCTCGGGAGGTAAACCCCCGAAGTCTCCATGCTGCCTTAACAGCTCCTCGAAATAGGCCGTAAACCTTGGGGGTAGCCCGGTGGCTCCAGGCGGCACATGCCGCCTTGTTGTCCATATTGACCGCATGTGCTCCATGGCATTTGTTGAGGGGGGGGCCACCCCCAATTGCCCTGGGGAAATCCCCCGGGATAAGCACCGTGAACGGTGCTGAGCGGCTCCCCCTGTCCCGGAGAGAACACCGAACTCTCGTATGGCCGAAATCCTTGCTGCTCCCCCCCCCTACCGTTAGGCGTAGGAGGTACTGCTCCTGGCAGGCCCATCGGGCCGACATAGGGTGGCCTCGAAGATGCTTCTTGGCCGCCTCCACTATGTCGAGGAACTTGATGGCCGAATTGCTGCCCTTGACTTTCGGATCTCGCATTTCTTCTACACTCTGCTTCCGTGTGGAAGACAGCTCGACGTCTTCTACACTTCGCCGTTTGAGCCGACGCCAACCTGACCTCCAGAGAATCGCCTTCCGATGTATCCACCCAGATCCTGTCTCTCATGTTGGAGCGGCTTTCTGGATCGATATCGAATTTGATATTGACTAATGAAGGCTTCATTCTCTCCGATTCCGTAGGATGTCTACGGATGACAGGACCAATTGCTTTTCTGATATGAGCCTCCAGAAAGGACATGCTCCTAATGGGACTTGAACCGCAATTACCCAGAAAGACGACTCATCTTCTTCTTCTCTTCGTTGCTCTCTAAGTTGTGCCGTTGTCAACCATGGTTTGAATTCAAGACGATAACTCAACGTTCCGAGTGTGAGATGATCTTTAAATTTCCTTTAGATAGCATCCACCTAATGATGGACCGACTTTTTGCAACATAGGAGACTACATTTGGGCTCTCCACCACTTTCACCCTACCTCTCCTGAACTCCGTTTAGTCGAACGTCCCATCCTGAACCCTTTCGTCTTCGTACGCCCGTACGATGTCATCTTTAACTCTCCTCGACAAAAAATCGCGCTCCATTGCGAAAAATTATCGTGACCGTATGCTCCTTGAGCCAGGCAATTTTTTCCTGGTCGATAGCCGAATTTACTTTGAATCTGACTTCTCTCCCGTCAATCTGCATCTCCCCTGGATCTATGTCCGAGGGGATATCTCCTTCCTCATAGCACATCCGAATCATCTCCCTTAACCGTCCTGGATCCTCTCTTGTCAAATTTGGATGGGGGGGGGGGGGGGGAATGAGCTCCTCTCTCCATCTCCTCATCCGCCATCTCCCTCGCTTGTCAAACGTCCCGTGAATTCACTCTAGGTCTTGCTCCTACTGGCCTAGACTAACTATTAGCCTGCCTTCCCTACACTTCCGAGGTAGATAACAAACCAGCAGCCTGCTACTAACCAATAGAACTTAGAGACTAAAGGCAGTTACCGGCTCCACACGATGGCTAACACGACGACTGACTTCTCAACCCCGTCGCCGGCCTTCCGTCATGGCGGAAGCATCAGAGGAGCCATCTCTACCATGCAACTATCCCGCTGACATCGCCTCGGTCGTGGAGTCCCTTCGTTGCCGTACGGCGGCGCTTGGCCCAAGCGCTGCGTTAGCGCCCCGGTCCGCCCCCCCGAGAATGTGAACAACTTTTGCCCCAGTGTCGGACCAAAATTCTTTGCAAAATAAAAAATAGAAAATAAAATTATCAATTTTTTAATTATTTATTTTTTATTCATTTTTGGCCCGGCCGAGCAAGTGGTCCTGAACCACTCTGGTAACATAGGTTATCACCTCCAAAATGATTCTGGTAACATACCAATAGATGGAGTGAGTGACCTGTATGGACTGTAGTAGGTTGGGATGCTCGTATCACCCAACCTATTAGGTTCCACTGAGTCTTGTTTTAAAAAAAAAAAAAAAAAAAAAAGGTTATCACCTCCAAAATGATTCTAAATAGTTAGTAAGCTGTCCTTCTTTTCTGCCATTAACTTTCTACGGTTCTACCACTGCCGTTTTTTTTTTTTTTTTTACAAATCAACTTTGCAGTTTATTATTACCAAACAAGAAGAGGCCGGGAATCCCTCCACAAGAGTGATAAAAAAAGATCATACCATGTATGTTTCATAACATATAGAAGAATATTGTATAGATAATATTATAATCATAGATTCTATATGTTCTCAATATAAATATTCAATATAAAATCAATATAATAAATATGTACAATGAAGTTTATAGAAATAGAAGAAACTTTTTTTTTTTTTTTTTTTTTTTTTTTAACCACTGCCAGGGTTTTGCAAATTTGTCATTGTGAAAAAGGTCAGTTGCATGCGAGCATATCGTTCAACAACGAATGGTCTGAGCTCCGAGGGATTTACATTTGTTACGATTATTTGTTTGATGCCATGGTAAGCACTTCTTTTTGTTTTGTTGAATTAGAAAAAAAAGCGTAATCTTTTGTGGGTGGTTGCTTGGATGGTATTTGATTTGTTGGATTAAAAAAAATACAAAATAAAAATTCAGGTACCAGTCACGGAATTTCGATCGGAAGTGAGCTCTCTGGAGGGGTGCGCAAAGTGGACATCGACGGAGTGAGATTCTTAGGCGGATCGGAGAGGGGTTTCCATATAAAGACCACCGCTGGCCGGGGCGGTCTGGTCCGCGATATCTTTGTGAAGAACATGGACCTGAGAGGTGTATTGCGCACTGCTATCGAAATCCAAGGCAATCACAAATCCGGCGGTTACAATCATCCGGACGATCAATACGATCCGACGGCTCTGACGAAGATCCGCAATGTCGTCATCAAGCACTTGTCGGGATTTAACTGTAGCATGGTGGGACAGTTCAGCGCCAGTCCGGATCTGCCGATCACCAAAATTCATCTTCAAGATTTTTTCTTTACGAACATAACGAAACGGGAACCATACTTGTGTTCGAATACAACTGGTACCCAGCATAACGTCATCCCGCCGGCTCCTCGGGAGTGTTTCCGGGAAGTCCAATCAACTTACCATAGGTAGAGCAGATGGTATTCTAGTATAGCTGGGGGGGTCTTGACGGAATGATTGTAGGTGGTATAGTCATAGTCATTGATGTATAGCTGGGGGGGTCTTGACAGAATGATTGTAGGTGGTATAGTCAAAGTCATTGATGTATAGCT